CTCCTCGTGCCTAGACGACTTCGAAACACTAGGTCTATGTGAGCGTGTCGTCGTCGCCATGGAGTTCAGCCTATGACGTCACACGGGTTACGCTGAAAATTAGGCCCTCCGTCTAAGGCTGGTTCCTTATTTCCACAAGCGTTCGTCACTTTCCACGTCATATCACTTGCTCTGCGACACCACACCTCGTTTAAGAATTGTCGCCACGATTAGTCCAACAAGAGCGAAGCATTTCGTGACGGCCATGCTTTTGGGGCCATGAGCCTGCGAGCAAGTTCCATCCCAAGGACATTTGACTCCCCCTACCCCGATGAGTGGCGCAGGACGCTACTTTGGAGCCTACCTACTTCTGCTTGTCCAATCTGGGAGACCATCACAGATCAACCACTCTCGTTCGCTTGCGTCTTCCCTTTCACAAATCACTGCTTTCGTTGTAGTCCCATTTTCTGTCTCTCCGCTGATCTTTAGTTTTCTTCAATCCACGTGTTCCATCAATATTTCCCTTTTATCAATTTAGATCAGTTTAGACAAGGAGATCGAGGATTACCCACAAAAGTAATGTGACTGACTGTTCGTCCCCTTTCGCCTTTTTGCCTCGTCTTCTCTCACGGGGGCTCTCTCTCGTCTGTCTTCTCTCTCTCTCTTCTCTCTCTCTCTCTCTCTCTCTCTCTCTCTCTCTCTCTCTCTCTCTCTCTCTCTCTCTCTCTCTCTCTCTCTCTCTCTCTCTCTCTCTCTCTCAGACACAGGCCGCTCCTTAAGAGAGGGCCCAGACCCTGGCCTTCCTCCACCTGACGGGGAAGATTATCCGCTTCCGCTTCGCCAAAAGGACAAATTTCTCGGAAGCTTTCGAGATCACGTGGGTGAGAGCCGTTCTGCCACACTCAATTCCAACATAAAGTGCATAGGTCGATCTCCTCCATGAGTCGCCATGTGAAAATCTCCCGCCAAAGTCAGCCTGTCATGAATTTCTTTCAATCGCCCTGTTGTCATTCTTAGCTGCCTCTGGATTAGTTCCATAGTTCTGACCTCGATCTAGTAACTTCTGTGATCTTCCCTGCTTGATTAATAGTTTGTTCATCACCTGGTCTTCTCTTCCGATCCTCTAGATTCGCCAATCGCTCCTTCAATCCTTGCATTTCCACCCTCTCTGGCATTAGTTGAACAGCCCCATCATGTACCCACACTCATATTCATCTGATAAATATCTGCACAGAATATATATAAAAGAAAATCCCTTTAACTATCACATTTTATAATCATTTCCTCACATAATAGATCCTCTATAGCCCCATAGAAGCACTTTGTTCGGAGGTCACGACAAGTACTCACCGATCCGTAATTTTGGAATACGAAATTGGTGGCAGCGGTGTTGTTTTTTCTCCCTGTGTTTGCGTGTGCTTAGTCTTGCTGCTGTTTTTTTTTGTTTGTTTTTTTGAGATTTCCTTTTTGGTCTAGATACTTTTTTGAGGCTTTTGATTTTTTTTTTTTTTTGTGTGTATTTTATTGATTTTCTATATGACCTTCATGTTGGTAATTTGTTTAATTTCCCTGGCATCTTATATGCAACCAATTGTGCATGTATTGGCATAACAGCATCATTCAGTAATTTTTGTATTTTGTAATTTTTTTATAGATTTGTTTTGCAGATACTTATTTTCAGTTCTTTTATATTTGTGTTAGATTCATCAGATATAGATTAATTTTATATATTTCTCAATTAATTAGAAAGAATTAACGAAGTCTATATCATTCCTTATCATTATGTGAATGGTTTGATGTTTTTTTCCCCTTTCGTTTTCATCAAAGGCTCTAACACCTACAGAAAGCCCGCACTAGAATAACAATCAGAAGATATATGTTCAATGCAGATAAAAACACCTCATACCCCCCCCCCCCCACGAAAACATAGAGAAAAAAAAAACTCGAGACACGCCGAAGGCAACACTCCCTCTTCGTCGGGGAATCCCCTCGTGCCGCACCCCGAGATCGTGACGTCACAGAGGCCTATAAGATCTTGTCACTTATTTTGTTAACCGTTCGCAATAAACTAAACAAAAATGAATGAATAAATGAATAAATGTAAAGGTATATAGATAAAATCACAAAAAATAAACGTTCTTCTTGCTTAAATCTTCTTTAAATCTTCAATTTTCGTCTTTATTACCGTACCTTCTCCACCTCCCCCTCCTCCCCTTCCTTCCATCTCTCTCTCCACCTCTGATTTACCTTCTCTCCCTATCTTCCGTTGTTTCCTCTCCGTTACCTGTTTATTTATCATTTATTGTTATTGTCGTCCTTGTTGATAAGGCGTATGACGGTCCATAGGTTAGGATGAGAAAGGGAGGGGAAGAGAAGAGAGAATGGTAGGAAGGGAGGAAGAGGATAATAGTTCTTCGTTAGACATTCCCATAACGCTATTTTTTTTTTTTTTTTTTTTTTTTTGTCTAAGTTAAAGCGAAAGAAAATTCTCTCAGCTTTGTCTGGGACGAAAATATTGGAT